TCAACTACTGCGAGATGTGATAGAGAGATTTGTGAGCTAGGGGTTGCACAGAGACCGCAGGGAGGTGTGACTGTGAGGGAGCGATTTTGTTTATGGCTTCTCTTTTTTCCTTCTTTGGGGAATTACTTATCAGCTACTGTTTCATAATTGAAAAGCAGCTATCCATGACACTTTTATCGCGGGAGCTGTCTTTAAAAATGAGCTCGCTGCCAAAATTGCGTACGTCCGAGATACGGTGGAATGTCTGGTTACGCAACCACAGACACTTTCGCAGGCTCTGTTTTGACGTAATATTTGAATTGAACTGGATTTGGTTGGTTTAGTCCTTTACCTGTGATGTCGTCCTGCTAGCATGGACTATAAAAGTGAGTTCTGTTTATTATCAAGATACTTGGGCCAGCCACCGCCGCTTTGATGCGCAGGCGCCTCTTTTTTGTTTCTAATTAAGAAATTAGTTTTTGATCTCAAACAGTTGCTCCCTTCTGTATGATTTTCTATCTTTTTCTGTGTGAAATGTGTTCAAAGACGTTCTATGGTTTTGTCTGGGAACGCCATCAAATTGTACAAGGTCTGGTGGGCACTGGTCCAAAGTACCGGCGTTTTTACGCAATAGCGTTTCACTTCGATGCAACCCAACAACTTTTTTGGGTTAGACGGTATTAGGCGCTGCAATGGTGTGAGCCACAAGATAGGGATTTTCGCTGATGCCTGACTGGACTGTCGAAGGAACTTTGGAGAGGGGAAGAAACCCGCTGCACTAAAAGTGACTTCCGAGTTCTTGAAAAAGTGGTTTACTGCCTTGGGACCTTTACAAAACTACGCAAGGGACTGTCATGTTGCATGAGCGCCCAAGCCTGTAAGCGGAGAAAATTTGTTACGTGCCAGCTAAATTCTATACATGAAATGAACTTGCTGTTTGATCAGATGGGCCTTGTAGTAGTTAAGTTCGTTTTGTAGGAAACCCTTGAAAGTTATGTTTTCCTTGTTTTGCTGGGCGATTCTGTGGTCCATCAATATCACATAAATGCTCAGCAAAACAATGACTAAACAATTCCAAACATGCGTAAAAGTCTTTTAACGCGTGTAGTTTCATAGACGCAAATCGTCTTGGTGGGGGGGGGGGGCAAAAAATGGTGCTCAGCAAAGTCTGTACATGCCGCCATGTGAAACTTACGTTACTGGAGTGCCTCATTTGTACTTTTTTTCATTCGCAAAATACAGGTCTTACCATAATGAAACTTTTTACATAAAACGACTCCAGTAACGAGTAAAGGCGGAGGTGCCAAACGCCCCTCCCACGCCGAACAACACCGTTCCATACAATATCGCGAGCGTACCTATACGTTTCTTACTTCAGTACAACTTTCGACAGCTCAACTCGAGCCTCCAGAGGAGCAAAGAAGACGTTTCGAAATAGAGTGCGAATTCGTCCAGGCCCTGGCTAATCCTCATTATGTAAATTGTAAGTTATTTCTGCACTCTAGTACAGTATGACAGCAAAGCGTCATTAGTTTCAAGATGTGCTTTGCTGAGCATTTCGCAAAAGATAAACTCGTTTTCATTTCAGTTCTGGCACAGCGTGGGTTTTTGAAGGAGCAGCATTTCATTAATTATCTGAAATATCTTTTATACTGGAAACAGCCAGAATATGCCAGGTAAGATTCTGAAGCTGTCATAGTTCTACAGTCAAGAAAACCGCTTCTGTGATCAGCGCTCGCGTGTTCCTAAGAACCAACCCTTCGCGAGACCTTGCTGTATCACATCCTTTGATAAGTTCGATATGTAGTGGCAGTGGGTAGGTAGTTCGTATCATGGTCACGCACGCCCCATCCCAGCACCTCGTGCGAAGAGGACACTGACTTTTAAGTTCTCGCATTGCAACTTCATTGTCTAGCCTTTAGTCGTGTTCTGGCTAATGGTTTAACTTCTATAGTGGAATGGCTAAACATTCAGACCAATACCCTTTTTCTTTCGTAAAAGTACTGAAATTTCCTCGGCTGTATACCACTAACATGAGTTAGGGCCGTGCTGTTTTTGAAACCTCCACTGTACTCACCCAGCAAAGCCCATGCTAGTTTGTCTCGCGATAAAACTTGATTACTTTGAAGCTTTAGCATCGTTTCATTTGAAGTACACTCCTTATGCCTGAGGTGGAGTAGGCATGGCATAGAATGTGTTACTCGTGGGATGAAGACATGACCACAATTGTGTCAAAATGAAAATATCTCACCAAAAGCACAGCCACCGCCACGTTTAGTTGAAGTACGCAGCCACGCCTACCCCATCTCAGGGATTCGAGTGTAATTACTATTATGTGCATCTGTAGCAAGGTCAACATCACGTCGCGGAGAACTGTCGTGTTGGTGCTACCCTCTCTCCAGAGAATATTCATTCGACCCTCTCTTCGCTTTCAATTTGTGGGATTGGGTCGCTATATAGCCCACTGCAGTTCCATTGAATTTCCATCTTTCTTGAAAAATGTGTTACATCATCCGCAAACGATCTTTCGCAAAACAGTTAGCGGGACTCGTGATCGATATAAGATTCTACACAAAATACATTAAGGCAGTCGCGTGCCTTTGTTTTGGCCTGATAACGAGAATTTTTTCTGCTAATTCGAATCTTTCACTTTTTAGTGGAAACTATCGGACGTAACGTAGAGCGAAGACCTAAACGGATTCGAAAACCAGGAGATCTATCCCTCACTATTGGGCAGAACGTATCTGTGTAGGGCTACTATAGCGGGTAGTGACTAAATAGCGCGGAAAAGTTTTGACGAATGCGAGTTTTTGGTCTTTCGATGGAAGTAGCTTTGTTCAGACATAGCAAAGGGCAGAAACATACGACCATCATGTCGCGGCCACCGCGACATGCACTTGACTCTGATCTGTACAGTAATCTCGAAAATCGACCGTCAGTTCTGTTGATGAGTCTCTGTGCTTTGTTCCCTGTAACAGCTGTCAATCAGTCATTGTGTTCTATTCTGGTCAGGGATTGAATAGTCTTACTTGTATTGATCATATTAGCTTAGACCCTTAATATAGAAAACTTTTTAAATGTTTGCCTACAGGGCTTTGAAGTACCCGCAATGCCTGCATATTCTCGAATGTCTTCAATGCAATAATTTTCGAGAGGCGCTTACTTCAGGTTTGTCCATTTTACTCGGTTATATGAGGTACATTCACGTTCTAGATGATCACAACTTCAGGAGCAAATGCAAAGTTCATAGAAGATCAACAAGTTCTCCAATGGCTGTACTATTTGCGGAAGCGCCAACGGTTGCATGTGAGATTTTAGTTTTTGTTCACTTCTTATAATTTGCTCACTGATGTGAGAAAGTGAATGGCGTGAAGATTTGGTTTTTTTTGGTGTTCTCTTCTTGTTGCTCACTTGAATGCTGTTTATTTACAAGGGGTAACGATTCTGAACCTATGAAGCAGCGCGTGTGTTCAGCAATTACTCTGAGTGTTTCGGCAAAGCCATTCCCTCTCCTGTTCCAATATGATTGCCCGAAAACTGTTGAACTCAGCTTCATGGCAACTAAATCTTGCTTCAAAGGATATTATATAATACGTGTATCTGTGAAGTTTATCTTATTCATGGCGATGTTATTAAAGGCAGCGTCCGCGATCAACCGAAGTGAAAAAACCCTCCAATGGAACGAACGGCGGAGTAGCGCAACGCACAGGCGCATCCGCAGCTCTTTAGGCGGCTCGAAATCGATTGGTTGACGAGGGCGGAGTCAACAAGGCTGAGCTGACGCCTCCTTTCCTGTTAATCCCGCCCCGACTGGTTAACAGTTATCAGTGCTTGCTGGCATTGATAAACGCTAAGTTTCTGGAGTTCCGAGGCCGCGACGTGTATTGGAGAACTCAACAAAGGTCTGCGAAAGCTCGTCACACGCCGTTAAATTTCGTAGGGGGTCTTATTGTCAGCGTTCTTTAGCACCTTTTCGTCTATTTTTTTTGATTGGTGCTTATTGGCCACCTGTTCTAAGCAAATTGACGTCGCTAGAGACGGTGCCAAAGTCGCATCGTCTGCGGCGCTGTCTTTAAGTAGTAAGTATGGAATATTGAACTGTCGCGATAGCCGGGTGTTCTTTCATGCCTCTGCCCATTATCCGCAACGTGTGGCATGCGTATCGATATGAGATGAGCATGTTGCGCGTCGCGAGTGTGGTGCCAGTACTTAAAGGCAGTACCCGCGTTCAGTTGAGCTCCGTTCGTGAGCAGGTAGCCAGGTTCGCAGAGGCAGCGGTTACACCACATAAACGAGTGAGGAGGCCCACGATGCCGTCGTTCCTCTCATTGGCCCAACCCCCTATCATTGGCACCGCCCACCGTTCATTTCTAATGGTTGCCTGATGGTGCGGTTGTTCTGCTACTAACTCTCTCCACTTCGAATGGTGAGAGTGAGGTGATAAGGGAAAACAGCTGATACCAACAAGTAAGAACTCGTGCGACCACGGCCTCTTTTCGCCTTATGCACGTACAACCTCAGTTCGGATGGGGTTCTATATGGGACATTTCCGGCGGTTTTTTCTGCTTTTTTCTTCACTGCTGGATCATTTGCTACCTTGCTATTACTATCTGAGCATACTCATCATATTTGAACGCGGGCTCAGTCTTTAAGTTGGGAGACTTGGGGCAATCCTGGTTTCATCCCGAGCCTGTCTTCTCGCCGCTCATATACGGAGCCAAAGAGCACTACAATACAATGCCCCCCCCCTCCAATGAAAAATGAGAGAAATGAGAGTACGCATACAAGTAGTGCGTAGAGCTATGCCTAAACATATGACTGACTGACTATGCAGCGTGTATAGTGTCTGGTAGGATTTTGCGGCAGAGACGTAATCGAACATCAAATCATTACAACCGACCAGGTTCAACACCACGCGCTTACGAATGGAGCACTTCATTGCTGCAACCTGTCCCATTTGCCTACAGATAAAAACGACCTTACAGCTGCAGATTTTCTTTGAATTTATAAAGTGGTGTGACACAGCACCTGACGACCTGACGACGAATCGACATCTTCATCTCACAGATTCTCAGGAATTGTTAGTTTCTGAATAAAACATACTAGACACCAAATGGAAGGGTTCACCATGATATCACGCTGTTTTCATGGGCGATAAAATATAGTGCGGCTCACGCAGTTCGGCGACGGAGGGGGGGGCGATTTTGTAATTTTGCTACTTCCAATCGATGTGTCGAGCAATCAAGTGCAGACCTGTGAGAGATCTTGTGTAGCCACGAAATAATACCAGCCACAGTTTGTCAACTCCTGTCAACTGTTGTAAAGCACTCACCTGTCAACTTTACAAAGCAGTG